ACATAGCACAGGCTTTTGACCGGGTATGGCACGCTGGAATGCTCTTTAAGCTTAAATTTCATCTACCGCAGTCCTTATATCTAATACTCTGATCCTACTTCTCTGACCGCTCCTTTCAAGTTCGCTGTGGTACTGAATTCTCCAACTGTCATTTAATTGAGGCAGGAGTTCCGCAGGGCAGCGTCTTGGGTCCCATCCTTTACATCCTTTTCACCGCAGATATTCCTGCCCATCCTGATACCCTCCTGGCAACATTCGCTGATGATACCGCTATCCTTTCAACCAACTCAGATCCTAAAACAGTGTCATTAAACCTACAAATGCACCTCTCTCTGATTGAACACTGGTGTAAGAAATGGCGCATTAAGATAATCGAATCCAAATGTAAACACATAACCTTCACCCTTTGTCGTAAATCCTGTCCACCAGTTTATTTTAACACCATCCAGCTTCCTTTCTCAGATACAGTCCGGTACCTTGGCTTTCTCTTAGACCGACAACTAACGTGAAACCCTCATACAAGACTCAAAAGACAGGAACTAAACCAACGATACGGCCAACTATACCGACTACTAAACAGAAAATCTAAACTTTCCATTGGAAAGAAGTTACTGATCTACTAGACAATACTGAAACCTATTTCGACTTACGGACTAGAACTGTGAGGAACATCAAAATTTTCTAACATCAAGCGCATCCAATCATTCCACTCAAAAGTCCTTCGAACAATAGTCGATGCTCCTTTCTATGTAACCAACAAAACTCAACATCCCATTTGTCCTGGACCTTATCCCAGAAAAATTCTCCAAATCTCACCAGAACCTTACGTATCATCCAAATCCTCTTGCACAATCCCTATCAAGCACCACCCATCCCTTTAATACTCCAAGAAGGTTGAAACGACTGTGGCCTCGCGACCTTTTGTAGATTGTATATATTGGAATTCTGGGAATGGCCAGATTTTCCACTCAAGACATGATTGTTTGTGGCTAAAGTGCTCTCGATCAATCTCCGCTGGCTTTAGTACCAGTGATGCGGTTGAGAGAGTAGCGCATGGTTCCCCTGGAGTTCCCTCGCCTGATTGTATGTATTCATGTGGTTTTTTTTTTTTTGTTGCTTGTTTTTACGTTATTTTATTTTATTATTTATTGTATATACTTTTGATTATTATTTTGCTTCTATTTATTTTATATTTTTTGTACATATAGTGTGAATGTTATCCTACCTCACTACAACCAATGTCCAAGAGACAGATTGTTGTAATACTGAATAAATAAATAAATATTTGTATGTATATTGCATGTGCTTTTTGCTTAGTTTTAATTTTCTTATTTTTAGGTTATTTTATTTTATTTATTGTATATATTTTTTTATTATTATTTATTCTTATTTTGCTTCTATTTATTTTATATTTGTTTGTACATATAATGCGAATTTTATCCTACCTCACTATAACTAATGTCTAAGTGAAAGATTGTTGTAATACTCAATAAATAAAACAAAAAAAGATGGTTTTTATTAAAATAGTTTTAATTTTAAAACTTTCTTGTATTAATCTGGTTGTTGTGATTTTGGACAAGTTCCTAAACTCTCAACGATGAGCTTATTGATGACATTCTTTCGCCCAGCCTAAAGATGGATTCGGTGCTATCGATGAGCTCAGCGCTGAGCTATCCTTTTTCAAACAAATTTGTTATAAATGTTTTGCCATATTTCTTTATCAAGTGTTATTCTTAGTTTGAAATTACGCTGCTTGTTCATTATAAGTCTTTTAATGGTAGTTTAAAAATGTTTTCAACTGTTAGCCTTTTTCAATTTTTATAGAACATAATAGTATTTATGATTGTGGATTAATGGTTGACTGCAGTGAATAATTGAAGAGAACAATGTTTTTTTGTTTTTTTTACTGATCACCCCAACCATTCTTCCTTTCAATAAAAGTATTTAATTTTCTTTGTGTACTTAAATTGATTTATGTGAATATAGTTCAATCATAAAAATTATTTTCGGTCTGCAAGACACTAGTATAGATAGATACATCTAAAAGCATAAACTTATTTTGCCTACAAATATGCTTAAGTTAATTTAGTAATGTAGTAACTATAATGAAAATTTTTATTTATTCTTAGCCTTCATTAATAATAGGAGCTAAAAATTACATCCCTAAACATAACAGTTGAAACATATCTTATAAAAAAAAACTGTTATGTTATTATCATGATGAACTGACAGATTAGTTGAAAAACAGAAAGAACTTCTGTTTCGTTTAGAAAAAAACAAAACGAAAATCAGATCAAACAGCAACTCGACTAGTGGCAAACGGGTGAACTAAAAAAAAACAACTGTTGTTATCCGTTTAGAAGAACAGTTCATTCATTTGAGATCAAGAACTGTTCTTTTCAAACGTTTGCTGTTTTCTCTCCCACCCCTAAGCGGTACCTTCATTGTGTGTATGTCATAAATACAACTAATGCCTTGTCTTTGGCTGTAGGACACGGAAACAAATTTGAAATAAAGTAGCAACAAAAAAAAATAAATATTATCATCAGTGACAGGTCGTTTCAACATTCTAAAAGAAACTAATTAGGAAATAAATACTAATTTCTCCATCCTCAAATTTCTTGCTCCCCCCCCCTATTCTAAAATAATGTACCCTCTTTTGACAACGCTCTCTCAATTATTTCAAATAAAATTCTCATTTAAAAGGAAAAAACATTTTAAAACAAATAATAATGAATTTCTGGCGTGGGCATACGCAGAGGCGGGCAGGAGGGGGCCTTGCCTTCCCTAAATATTACTGATGTTACTTGTTGATTGTAATTGCCTAATGTATTGTGCCTTTAATATTCTCGAGAAATAAACCAACATTATATCTACTATCTTTTAAACTAACATTTATATTACATCTCATATAGATGCATATTAATTATATAAGTGAGAGGGGCAATAATCTTTTTTTTGGGTGGGGGGAGCATGCGCCATCGGCCTTGGGGGAATCAACACCCCTGATAATAACTATTGTGACCAGATTAACAATAAACGTTAATGTAGTTCTGTATCATACGTTATATATCAAATAAAATAAAAAGGAAAGATCCAATACGTGTCCACAAAAGCGTTTAAAAAATGAGGTAAGATAAAATAATTTGAGACTAAATTTTTGTTGAAGTTCTGAATCCTGTTTCATGTACAAATATTTAAAAAAATTAAAATATTATTTTGCTAGCGGAAAGTATAATATTATAATCACCATTATCTGAAATTCATAATAAAAAAATCTATCAGTTTTCGAGAAACTATTTTTTCAGTAGAATGAACCAAATTTCAAATTTATCAAGATAAAAAAACATAAAGTATAATATCTTACGTATTTAGTATCTGAATAAAACATGAATTTCTAATGGTCTAAACAAAAATTGAATTTTATAATAAGATGTCACGTCACCTACCAAAGTATCATTTATTTTTTATTTTCATATATTATTTCTGATAATATATCTCTTGCTCACATAATAGGGTATATATAGTAGTGTTGTTATAAAACGAAAATACAAGGAAGTCTGATGAAAAATAATGGAGTTATAGAATTATTACCAAAAAAAATCCAGTTAGGGATCACTGTACGTAAGGAAGCTCATATTCTGAGAATATTAATCCACGTTATTGTCGCTTAGTTCCATAATTTATACAGGGAATCCGGTTTTGGAATACAATTTAGTCAACATGGTTCCGGTTAAATTTCAAAGAAAAAGTTATATTAATAATGAGTGTACCAGAATGCAATTTAGACACTCGATTAAAACTTGGTGATTAAACATTTTAAAGAAATAACGAATACTCTGAAGAGTAAGCCAAACAGGGAAATGTTAATGCAAAAAAAAAATTTCTTTCGAGGTATGCCGTTGTTTCAGTAACGTATAAATGGTTTTGTCAGACTTGTATCTTAACCCTCCAGCGTTCGCATAATCATTTCCAACAATTATACTCGCGCTGGACCTTTGAGCTGACAATCGTGATCTCTGAGTTAATATTAAACAAGTTCTCTCACAAATTAGTTGGCTGAGAAACAATGTTTATGAACGAGGGTAGTGGAATAATTGTAATGATTTTATCTATCCATAAAAATTTGGAAAACAAAATAGTTATGCTAGACCTAACAAAAATTACAAATTAATATTCGTTTTTTTCTTTATACAAACAACTTTACCTTTCTTATGTGCAATTTTATCATGCAAAATATATAATTAAATTTCTCTCAAAAATATTTTTAATTTGTAAATTGTGGTGGCCGAGCGGACTAAAGAGTGTGCTCGTTGCCTGGCAACCTGATAACCGAAGTAGGAGACGATAAAATAATTATGAGTTCGCGTCCCGCTTCCCGGGGTGCTCTTTAACTTTTGAATTAATCCTCCGCCCTCGCCCTCTGGCCCGCGAAAACCCCCGTATAATTCAAATGGCGAGGTAGGGGAGAACAAAAAAAAGATTAATTTTTTATTATTATTTGGAAATCTATACCCAAACATACAATTCCACAAGAAAAAACAACGCTGTTTAGATTAGATGGTTAAAATATTTAAGCATCGTACTATATCTGCAAATAGTCTCAGTTTGACTGCAAGACTATTGCAGGTCTTTCACTAGTCTTTCAGGATCTGGTCTTGGTTTTGCAACAATTTTTGTGGTCTTCTTCTTGGTCTTGCAAAAGTGCAAGACCAAGAACGATTTTGCAACACTACTGATACCACATAATTTGTAGCATCATGGAAGAAGTAGAAGAACTAAATTCGTAATTTGGCCCACTTTGCGTCTGTGAGGTTCGGAATAATAAATAGAAGTGTTTAAAAAGTTTCATAATAATCGCATAATTATATTAAATAATCTAGATACAAACGAAAATCATATTTGAATTGTGGTGGCGTAATCTTTACTGAAATTTGAAAAAAAAAAAAAAAAAAAAACCTATTCTAATATCTTATAGTTGATATGTTTTGAATTATTTTACAGGTGCCTCGTCCACAATCTTAATCGATCCACCAATAAGTGACTTGCAAATACCGTCTGGAGCTGACTTACAATTAAAATGCACGAGTGATAATCCGGCATCCTGGTACTACCCACCGAGTGTTGAAGGAAAAGTAAGATATATTTATTTATTTTCCATTGTCTTACTGTATGGTTACTTGTAAATGGAATTTACAATTCGCCATACAGTACCACATCACATATTTACATTTGCACTAAACTCAACTTTACAACATCGTATTTTTTTATTCTTTACAGTATTAAAATTAAATAAATAAATTTAAAAACTGACACTTTTTTTTCTGTTGGCATTACAGACTTTGTAGATCTTCTGCCTCCTTAACAAGCCTGCTCCATCTCTGCCTATTTTTTTCTGGTTATCTCCACGCAGCTCTATTTCATCTTTGTTGATTCTATCTATCTGCTTTTCGCGTGGTTTTTTCCTTCTATTGAGGCATTCATTGCTACGTACAGGCTTCCAGATGGATTGCTACGAGCTACATGCCCCGCCGATCTTAACCTCCGTGCCATCATATCATGGGATTTTTTTTATCAGTTTCTGTAATCAGTTCTTCATTGGTCTTTCTTCTCCATGCATTAGTACTCTGATCCCAGATCGTGCTGTCGTGCGCAGGATTTTTCTCTCAAATCTATCAATACTTTTTTGTAGGGTACTGGTTACTGTCCTGGTCTTACAGTCATATATTAGAACTGGGTTTATCATAGCATTGTACACCTTTAATTTTAGATTTCTTGGGATTTTTCGGGATTTCAATACCTTTGAAAAGCAGACGAAAGTTCTGTTTGAGCTAGTTATACGCTGGTCTATTTCTGACCGTTGGTCATTCTTTGAATTTTTCTACTCTCGGGGATGATTCTGTTATTTGCTGGAATTTTCGGCTTATTATCTTCTTATTTTTATTATCTTAGCTTATTATCATATATTTTGTTTTGTCATCATTTACTTGTAGGCCGATCTTATCTGCCTCTCTAATCAGAGTCTTAGCAAGTTTCTCAATGTCCTCTTGATTGACTTCCAAGGACAGCTATATCATCTGCGTAACCGAGAATTTTATGATTCATTCCAACGTGGACCCTTCCATTTTCCTGTGATGTTGTACTTATCACCTTCTCCAGGGCTAAATTGAACAACGTCGGTGATAGTCCATCTCCCTGTCGTAAGCCCGTTCGTACTTAAAAGGCTTAGAGTCATTTTTACAAGCCTTTGTCAATTTCACTAACTTGACGGGATCTCCTAGTCATGATTTTCCAAAGTTCCTGTCCACAGAATTATATGCTACTTTGCAAATGACAAATAGGGCGAGAATATCCTGAGATACTTCCCATCGTTTTTCGAGTATTTGTTTCAGGATGAAGATCTGATCAAGCGTGCCCCTTCCTTTTATGAATCCAACTTGGTGGTCGTCTATTAAATTTTCGTAATAGGGATATATTCGGTCTAGTAGGATATTGGTCATTACCTTGTAGGCAACCGGAAGGAGTACTATGTCTCTGTAATTACTACACTCATACATGGAGCTTTTGTTTAGGATAGCACAGATTAGGCCCGTATTCCAAGCCTCAGGTTTCCTCTTCCCATATTTTCTGGATTAGTAGTAGTAACTTGGCTCTTAAGCTGTCTCTCAACCTTTAAACAGATCTGATGGTAGGTTGTCCATCCCTTTCTTGTTTTCAGCCTTTCGATAGTTATTTCTACATTCAGTATATCTGGTTTTCCAACCTATTCTGGGTCAAGGTCCTCAGTGTTGTCCATTTCTTCTTCGTTCCTTGGGTTTGTTCTGGGGTCCCCTTGATTGAGAAGTTCTTGGAAATGTTCTTTCCTTCAGATGCCGTCAGAATGCCATATTCTCCTCGCATTTGCGTATTTCTCGCTTTATATCCTACACTTTCTTTCCTAATTTCCATGTAGAATTCGCGTATATTTCCAGTCTGCCAGTTGTCCTGAATGGTTTGCAATCTTCCTTTAAGGAATTTCCTTTTTGCCGATCTCATAATTTTGTTTGCATTTTTCTTGGCAGCTGTGTACTCTTCCTGAGCAACTTGATCAGTTGCAGCTAGCCAGAGGACTTTCATTTTTCTTCTTCCCCCTATTGCCTTTTCGTATGCTTCTGTGAACCACATCTTAGATTTTCGTTTCTCCTGAATGCCTATCACTTCCGTAGCTGTTTCTTTTAGTCCTTTCTCTATTGCCTCCCAGTTTTGCTCCTCCGTGAGGCACTCTGAATCCAAGGGTTTTTGGTTAGTTGGAATTTGGTTTTTACTTCAGAATTTTTCAAATTACGGACTTCATACCTCCTTCTTTCCACTCCATCCCCAGTTTTGTGAATTAGCTTCAATCTCTGACATAGTTTAAACATAATTTCTTTCTGACATAATTTCTTAAAGTGTACATTTTTCGCTTCGATGCACAGTTGCATGTGAAAAAACAAAAAAATATAGAAAAACATGGCTTTTTAGGAAGTAAAATGTTTTTCGTTGGTTGCTGGCACCAGCAAGTTTATTCGTTACATTTTTAACCCGTATACACAAGTTAAAAAAATTACAGCTTTTTCCCACATTTTTCGCAATATATTTCCCGTTTCGATCCTCAAGTTATTGGCCTAGTGTTCCTTAAAGCATCGGTTCTGGGATGGCAGACAAGATTCATTTTACTTAGAATAACATTCACTTTCGCAATTTACATTCAAACCTTCACCTGTGATCAGGTTGATTTTTGGGTCCTGGCTAAGAAAGATCATGTTAACTTCAGATGAAGCTGACTACGATTAATAAACAAGATTTCCTTTTAGAACAAGATTGGGTCCATAAACTTTGCTAACCAACTTGAGTATTCAGAGAAAATGGAGGTCATTATTTGAGTGTTATTATTTTTGCTTAACAATGGTTTTTTTACCACATCCTGTATAATTTAAATAAATATAGTTTTTTTTAAATATAATTTTTTTTTCATGAAAATATATGGGAAACATTAATTTGATAATATTTTTATATTTCTGTCATAGGATTCTTCTACAAAGAGTGTTACATATCCCCAAACGGATGATGATAAATATATGACTGTTATTTTTATTCATCATGCTCATTACCTTGACACAGGATATTATTACTGCAGTTCGAATTTAAAAGATGGTGAAGAGTCAAAGATATATATATTTGTTAGAGACCATAAGAATCTGTTGGCTGTAAATGAGTCCTATGCTTTGATTACTGAACAGGAATTTAGTGATGTAATAATTCCTTGCAAACCCACCAGTCAAGATGTTGTAGTAAAATTGATCAAGGATACAGATGAGGTAAAGGTTAAATTTACGTTCCTTGGTTGGTAACATGATGTTTATGAATGAAATAATATTTAATTTATAAAAATAAAATAGTATTGCAACCCAATAATCTTATTTATTGAACTAATTTTAATTTATAACATTTCAATTACTTAAGAAAGGATGCTGTTGTATATCTTAATAACAAGGAAAATTATCTTAGAGAAGAAAAAGTTGTCAGTAGATAATATGCTTGGGAAGGTAGTTTGTGGTTGCAGTTAGTGAGAAAAACTCAAATATATATTTTTTAAAAAATGTTTTGTTTTTTTGTGCCGACATTTCGGTCTACGTTTCAGGGATGAGGAAAGACAAGATAACAACCAAAACTTATAAATCAATTATTGTAAAAAGACATAAGAATGAAAAATAGATGTTATCTGCTAATAAATAAATTCTAAGAAATGAATAAAGTAAAAGGTGGCAAAGTAATGAAGTAAACAAAGTCATAGCCAATGAAATAATGAATAAATGAAACTGAATATTAAGTAATGTAGATAAATCAGAAAATTCTCTGATTTATTTATATTAGATAGATAGATAAATAGAAAATAAACATTATTCTGGGACATGGTCCCTTAAGAATAACAATTATCAACTAAATTAATAAAAATTAAACAATATACACAATATATTCAGTGACAATATATAAACAAAAGAAAGTAAAAACATTTATAAAAAAAAAAAAATTGAAAAGAAAAGAAAAACAGAAAAAATAAAAAACAAAATGTTATAAACATTATGAGTTGATCCTTAAAATTAAAATTTAAACAATATAAATAACCATTCACTTCAATTGAAGTTCGATTCAGAAAATTTATTTCATGATTTTGTCACTTTCAGTTGTGAGAAGGTATTGGAAAAGAAGGTATTTGGATGATGACAACAAAGAAGCATGGTGGATATCAGATTGCTAGGAATTCCAGAAAGCAGTGGATCGGTGAATAAAGGAATGTCCTAATGTTTTGATTCTATGAGAAGGAGTATATTTCTTAAAAATTTATTTAATGAAATTTACAACTGTTTAAACAGTACAATGAGTTAAAATGCACACATTAGAAATAATAACATGAATAGACTTAAAGAGATACTGCCCAGTGATAGCACTCCCTATTTAATTCTAGGTGAAAAGATCACGAGGCCATCTTCTTTTCAGAAGCCTAGGGGATTATCAGGAATCGAGGAAGAAGCAAGGCTGGAAACAAGTGGATTCGGATGGGACTGGAGTTTATCATGAAAGGATAGGTATCTGGCTCGGGCTAAATCAGCGGCATATGGAACATTAAGGTCTTTATGAATGGTTTTATTTGTGACAAAATATGGGGCATTAAGGATTTTAGAAGGATTTTGGATTGTAAGGATTGGATACGATAGGAATTCGATGGTTTGGTAGAGCCCCAAAGCTCAACTCCGTATGTCCATATAGGTCTTATTATGGTTAAGTAGATGAGTCTTTTGTAATTAATTGAAAGTTTAGAGCGTTTGTCTAGTAAGTGTTGGAGCAGTCGGAAACGTCGAGCAGTTTCTTGTCGTTTCAGTCTAGTATGCGGATTCCAAGTGAGACGTTTATCCAAGTGGAGTCCTAGGTAGCGGATTTGTTCAACAGGAACAAGTGGAATATCATTGAAGGATATTGTAGGACAAGAAGTTGTAGGTTTACGACGAAGGGTAAAGGTAATTTGATGGGATTTATTGGATTTATTCTCCAGTTATGACACCATTCTTCAAGGTTTGTGATATGTGATTGGAGGGTTTGGGATGCAATTAAAGGGTCATGTCAACAGATAGGATACAAGTATCCTCTGCATAGGTGGTGATGACCGTGTTGGGATGGGTTGGGATATCAGCTGTATGAACTGTATAAAGGATAGGACCGAGGATGCTCCCTTGAGGAACACCAGCAGACTGTGAAAAGAGGGATGAACATGCATTATTATGATTTACTTTGAAGTATCGATCAGTAAGGTAAGAATGGATAATGAGGAAGTATGAAGGTGTTAAGAATTTATGGAGTTTGTACAGCAGTCCCGGGTGCCAGACTCTATTAAAGGCCTGTTCAATGTCGAGAAAGACTCCTGTACAGTACATTTTGCGCTCCAATGCAGAGGAGACTACGTCTACCACACAATGACATTGCTGGATTGTGGAATGGGATCTTCGGAATCCAAATTGGTGATCAGGATGGGATACAGGTATTTTAAAATGAGTTTTTCCAGGATTTTGTCCATGATTGGTAAAAGAGAGATAGGACGGTAAGAGGGTGAGTATTCAGGTGGCTTTTTGGGTTTGTGGATCGGTGAGAAGGAATATAAAGGTTGGAAACACGGAATCTTGTTTTCTGAGAGCAGACTACGGGTTTGAACTGTAAGAGTTTGTAGATGTAGAAAGGGTGCAAGTAGTTAATTGTTTGGAATAGATAAGATCCAAGGAAATATTGTATGAGGAAAGAAGGGAAGACCCACATTAACTCATCAATATTACTTAGTTATTTGTTATTTAATTATTTATTTATTCTCTAATTTATCTATATTCCATTTCATTTCTTCATTATTTCATTGTCCATAACTTTGTTTATTTTATTACAGTTACTTTGTCACCTTATACTTACTACTGTTACCAGATAACACATATCTTTTTACAATAGTTTTTTAATTATTTTTGGTTGTTATCTTGTCTTTCCTAACCCCTGATGAAGGTCTGAAACCTAGCTCAAAACTTCTGCACAAAATAAAATACAAATTTTCTATTTTTATTTATGTTTTCCTCTCTGAATGCAACCCCCAAATAACTTCCCAACCAAGGAAAATTATCATTATCAATTTTAGTTTACATATATGACTAATAGTAATTAATTAAAAACAGCAGATACACAAAACTTATAAACTGTGACAAATATATTTTAAATAATAAGACAAAACTAGCTTTGAGGTTGCAGTGTTTCAATGTCCTGATCGGTTCCGATGAAACCAACAAACATTATTGAAACATAATCCCAGATGTAATTTAATACAATTATTTATATTTTTAGAATTTATAACCTACAACTCTTCTTCTATTTATTGAATTTTAAAACTAGTTAAATCATAATAGTTCTTCAAAATTCATCCAAAACTATCTTCATTTTTTAATACAAACATCATAAGTTCTATTTATGCTAGAATATAATATCATAAATATAAATAATGCAATATATGTGATAAGTGAAGATTAGAAACATTGATAAGTAAATAATAGATACATAAGGAAGAATACTTTTTAAATTATTATGAAGTTCAAGTATTTGGGATCTAAAAGGAATTAATGAAGGGAGTTAGTCGACTTTTCTACATATCGTGGGTGATAAATAGTCAGGATGCAGTCATTTTTAAGGTTTTAATTGGTGCCGATGTTTCAACCCAAGCATATGAGTCATCGTCAGGGCTGAAAATTGTTTAGTACAACCATAGATATAATATTCTATGACAGATATTGGTTAATAATGAAACCATGGTGATAAATAATACACAAAGTAGACAAATGATATATGTAATAAGTTATACAAATTAAAAAATAATGTGTATAATCAATTTAGAAGAAATGTAATATTTACTCTTGCTAGCCGTGTTTCAATTGATCATGTATGGAAACCGGAGAGTTCCTTGCTGCTATAAATGAAGTCACACAACTTTTTCAGAGGCCTGTAAAATACCTAGTATTTGTAGACGATATTATGATTACTCTTCAAAGTAAATCTCTAGCTTTCACAGAGTGGAAAGTGCAGAAGGCCATTCAAGAGATAGAAGGTTGGGCTGATATGAACAGATTTAAAATATCGCAAACTAAAACAAAAACCATGCACATCTACCATAATAAAGGATGTTACCTAAACCCTTAAGTATTACTGAAAGGTAATGAAGTAATGTTTTCCAATAGCAATCATTATCTGGAACTAAATATATATAAAAAATTAAAATGGATCATCACGTCAAATATCTTCGGGAAACTTGTACCAAATCAATGAGCCTTCTGAAATCCAGCTCCCATACAAACCAGAAACACTCTCATCAAAATATATCAATCTATTATAAGAAGGAAATTGGATTATAGAGCAATTGTGTATAGAACAGCAAACGAAAGAGTAGTAAAAATGTTAGACACGGTCCTTAATAGCGCTCTAAGAATATGTACAGGGGCATACAGAACTTATCCAATGAACTTATATAGCTCAGCCTTTACGTTGTATCAGGTGAGCCTTCTCTTCAATTGTGCAGAAAATTACTTCTTGCTAAGTAAATAGCTAAGATATCAGCAAATCAAAATCATTTAATAAGATTTGTACTTTTCAACAATATAAATGAAAACAGAATTTTAGTAAACATAGGAATCAACTACTACGTATGGCATATTCACAAAATGTTGACAATATCAAGTTTAAACATTAATAAAATATATCAATTTCCAAAACAACTAAGACCCCAATGGAGAGAACCTCAGGCAATAATAGACATCAGTATGATGAACTCCAGGGTTGCCACACCATGGAAAATTGTTTTACACCATCTTCGCACTGGCCATTGCGAATTCCCTCATAAATACCTTCTGCAAAAATTAGATCCACCCATTTGTAGAGAGTGCTCTGTGATAATGATAGTGAAATTATTATACTATTAGACTGCATTAAATACAAAAGCACAAGAACTTCTATGGAGTTATCAGGAAATCCCAAAGAGCTATTAGAAAATAACGGAAAAAACATTAAAAAACTATGAAGTTTTTGATAATTAGCGGTAAATAATAAAATATTTAAGGTGAAACAAACAGCATATCACCAATGAATCTTTAGGGTAGTGGCAAAGATCAAATAAATGAATAACTTTTTAAAATATTACAAAAGAATAAGAACAACCCTCTTATTGGCTAATCACTAACCATTTCAATTAACTCTATTTTTTGGTTTTAATCTGATCTCTCTTATCATACTCAAGCAGTTGCAATCCCACCCTAACTGCATTTATACAATACCACATTCCCAATCCTAACCCATCTTCATCTTACTTCTTTACTTTTCCTTTAGGCTAAATCTGAGCACATTTCTCATGTTTCCAGTTTCTAAATAAATAATTTTCCTGATTTAAGTCACTACTGTTCCCATAAACTTTCTACTGAGAACTCTTGAATATATTTATACTTTTCTTCTTTTGATTTATTAATAGCATTTGCCAAAATTTAGGAAAACCTAGATAGAATAAGTGCTTGGGCAATCCTGTGTAAAGTAATGCAGAATAAGAGAGACAATATGAGGGTCAAAATTAAAAAAAAAATAAAATACTTTTTTATACCTACTGTTTTTTTATTTTAGTTTTGACCATAACCCTGACTGTCATTTACCATAACCCCTTAGATTTATTTAATAATGTTCAGTGAAAAGTGCTTAAGTCATCATTTTTAGTGGAAAAATCTGTTAGCTTGACTGAAATTATCTGATTGTTTTATTAGTAGACAGCTTCAATCTACATATTGACAGTTATGTAAAACAGTGGATTACTGTTGTTTAGTATTAAATACTAAAAAATTATGGTTAATCATAACCAAATCTAGGGAATTGTTACAGATTATACAACCAATATGTACTGTTTTTTAGTTATTTAAACTTTAATAATCTTCTTGTACTTTCTGTTCTTTTGTTAAAAACTTTAAAGGCCTTGTCTCCACTTAAGTTCATCATATACTCCCTTATTTTTTGCACATCGACTATGACTATATGTCTGAATTGTTTAAAAGTGTGGAAGAATTTTTTTTTTGTTCACTAAATTTAGTCTATACTAATTGATTATTTTTTTTTTTTTCTTTGGTTTTGTATATCGAAGAATGCATATGTGTATTAATGATTAATTTTATACTATATAAAAATCAAAATTAAGTTAATTAAGGTTACAGTAGTCTCTAACTGGAGTGGAGGGCAAAATGAAATGAGCCATACATAACTTTTACATTTATTGCCGATTATAATTTTGAGGAACAGAGATGAGGAAGGTGCCAAGAGGGGCTCCCATCTTATTGTAAAGCTGATGTAGCTCCTCTCCTCCATCAGTAGCCAATATTTTAATGCCATGCCTAACCAAAATAATTAATCATCTTTACTCTTCTTACAATTACAATCTCCTATAATTCTGATCCTCAGTTCATTCACACCACAGAAGATCCTGTCTTCCTGACCTTTACACTTCAATCTACAGCACTACTGTGTTAAAACATTTTTTTTTTTTTAATACATTATTACCATTTGAAATTCTATTCCACCTTATATTTGATGAGATTTTCCTTAGGCTTATCGGAAACCCCTCGTAACCCAGATCAAAAATCATTAACCAGAGAATATTTGGTTATGAATTTTTTGTTTGTTTCATGAATGGCTGTTGTCATTAATTTTTCTTTATCATTTGAATTTTAATGAGTGGAAAAGTTTATTTTTTTTATTTTGTTTGCTAAATTTAATTTATACTAATTAATCATTTTTTGTGGTATTGTATATTGATGAACGCGTATGTATATATTATAATGATTAATTTGATATGCACAATTCAAAATTAAAATAATTATTTAAAATTTGGAAATATTTCTTTTTTGAAGATTTTAATTTTTTTTTTATCATGAATGAATATGTTCATCATTTTAAAAAAAACAATCTCAAATGTTTGCCTACATATTATGGAGTATAGCTTTGTTCATCTAGGAGGTGGGGGACTATAGTTCAAAAATTGGCTTTTTTATTGGTAAATTGAATCTAGAACATTCTGGCAGTTATGAATGTCTTGCAAATCGAGGCAACCTGAGCCAATCAACAACATATCACCTTCATGTTGTTCGTAAGAAATTTTATTTAAATACAATGATTTGCATGTAATTTGTGAGAAAAAAAAGAAAATTCTATTTTGTATCTTCATTTGTGCATGGTATGTTTGTTTATCTATCTTATATTTTAATTATTATACTTCTATTTTAAATATTTCATATCAAAGTAGTTAGTGAGAAATACAAAGAATGATTAATTTTACAATTATTAATAAGTCAATTATTATTATACGAAATTACAAAGAAGATCTACAATTCAAAAGTTACTTTAACAATATTCTTTTAAAATAAAACAATATATATATTTAAAGAGTTACTAAATGTTTACCTTCAGTTGACAAAAGGAATCACTACGATTCTTTACTATGCCAATACTTGGTTTTCAAATTAAAAACTTGTCAATAAGACATATTTTTGTAAATAACCTTGTTTTAATAGTTAAAATTGTGATTATATATATATATATATATATATATATATTATATATATATATATATATATATATATATATATATATATTAAAACAAGGTTATTTACAAAAATATGTCTTATTGACAAGTTTTTAATTAAAAACTTAACAAATTAAAAACTTGTCAATAAGACATATTTTTGTAAATAACCTTGTTTTAATAGTTAAAATTGTGATTATATATATATATATATATATATATATATGTGTGTGTGTGTGTGTGTGTGTGTGTATATGTAGCCATGTCATTAGTGGCATTTAATTACAACATAGGCTAAATATTATAGTAGGTTTACATGTACTGTTTTTCTTTTATTTTGCTTAATATTAATATCATTATTATTATGTTACTAACCTTATTCTAATTTTTTTTTAATGGGAGTCTGTGACATGGTTTTTAAAATGTATATATTTGAAAATATTATTTATTTCCTGAAATAAATATTATATTTTATCTATTGTATATGATATAATATATTTTAATTATTTATCTTTTATGGTTATGTTTTACCTTATTATTGTGTAATTTTTCTGAGTGTAACAAGGTATTTCCAACTGCTTTCCTTGTAATTGTTTGTTTACATTAATTTTTGTTATATATATATATGTTCTTTAATTATTACATGCATGTACACATTTAAAATAATAATGATATTTTTAAGTCAAATAATGATAATAATCATGTCACTCTAATATCCATCTATTTTATTAAATATTTTTTGCCATGTCATGACTTTATTTTATGTGTGAGGTGGGTTTTTTATTCTTTTGGTGTAATTATGTTTCAAATACCCTTTTTTTCAATTAGTATATGAAGAATAGAATTCTTAACTAGCCAACTCAGTATTAAACTTTTTTCTTTTCGTTTTTTTTTTTAATTAATGATTTTGATAAAATATTTTTACGAGGCAAAAGAATTTTTTTCAAAAACAGTTATGTCAAATTTCATTGAACTGTTTTAGAAAGAAACATTTTTAACTCATGATAATTTAGTGTCAAAACTGTTACTTAAAAAAAAAAAAATGGAGTCAGCATGATAAGAATGACAGCAAATGAAGAAGTTATAAAAATACAAAATATATGCTTAAAACTTGTGGAGTAGTTCATAATCATTGCTGGTTTTCTTTTATTTGGTTGATTTTAGTGAGATATATGGTCTTATTATTTTAATTTATATTCAATTTTGCTAATTTATATTTCTACAGCCTGCTACAATATAATCAATGATAATGATTAGTTCCTTTTTTTGGATGATTATTATGTTTTTCAGTATAAAGAGAAAATTAAAGTTATTTCATGAATTAGAAAATTTTAGCTATATAGCTTAAATAAGTTATTTAAAAAAATCACTTGTGGTTCTGATTATTGAATTGGCAGGTTAATGATCCCTTTTTTAAATATATTTCTATTATATTCCATCAATAAATGTTAACAGAAATTATATCACCAATTCATCCATTCCTTTACCTCCCATGCCTTCCCTGCCTTGGCTAATCACTTGGAATTTGGCAAACTTAAGATACTGTTATTGAACCTGAATAAAAAGGTTAAAACCTTTACCAACTTTTCACTTACTTCTAACCAGGGCTCCTTATTATTAACTCTTTCATCATTGTAGTCTTAGATTCCATCCTATATTTACTATAATTAAGAATTTTTAGCTCTTTATCATATTTTTTGTTATATTAATATTCTTATTTCTACTTAATATAGTCACATCCATAAAATAAAATAAATTATAATATTAATAAATACACTGATAATGAGGACTTGATTCATGAACTATGAGGCACATTTTAATAAAGTGTGGAATTAAGGCCTTAAAGTCTCTTCATACTTTATTTTTGAGACTTAATATACTTATTTTAATAATAAATGATAATTCTTTCACATATTACACCTGTTTTAAAGAGAGAAAATATATTTGAGACAAATATTATATCTTAGCTCAGGAGTTCCCTATATAGATCTCGCAGGCACAACTGTCCCTGTGTGATGTCTATTTTATGAAGCAATTCATAAGTTTTTTCAGTCTCGCCTCCAGTCCTGTGGACAGCCCTCCATACACCAAGCAACCGCAGTCGAAGTGGGGGGGGGGGACAAGGGATGTTATAAGGAGATCACTCCGAGGTTTTTGACTGTTGGAAAGAAATGGATGGGACGGTTATTGAAGTAAAGTAAAGGAGAGAAAGGAAGGGAACTAATGAAATGCTTGGAACCGATGAGGATTGCCTTAGTTTTGTCTGCGTTCAGCTTCAGTTCATTTTTTTCTGCCCACCTGTGGATTCAGTCAATATTTTCTTGTAGTTTTAGGGTAGCCTCAGACATTTTAGATGGTTAAAACGATAAGTAAATTTGTAGATCGTCTGCATATAAGTGATAGTGAGAGTGACGAATGGAGTTCAGAAGGTTGCTAATATAACTGGAGAACAGAGTTGGAGAGAGTGAGTAGCCCTGAGGAGCCTTGAGGAACACCTAATGATAATAGAAGAGACGAAGAAGGAGATTTGTAAGGCCAAAAAAAGATAGAATCAACAAAGATGCTATAGTGCTGTGTGCAGATAGATAGAAAGAAACAGCCCAAAACAGGCAGAGATGGAGCAGGTTTGCTAAGGCGGCCCAAGATCTACATGGTCTGTAATGCCAACAGAAAAAAAAAAAATTAACAAGATTTTATAGATATAGACTTCAAAAGTATTTTTAAATATTATAAACAGTAACCTATCGGCACTTCACATTGAATAAAAAATATCATAACTAACAATAACTTGACCTATAAATGTGCCTGTTGGTGAAAAAAGGTTGGGAACCCCTGACTTAGCTGATAGCTAAGAATGAAAATAATGATTACATCAATTCCAAATAAAAAAATAGTCAGCATAAACGTTATTTAGGTTTAAAAATTGAGAATACTAACCTTATTGGATTTGTTTAGGTAGAAAAAAGGAAATGGTCAAATAGGTATATGGAATTATCAATGTTCAACCAACTCTTCTGAGAACTTTAATACCTACCAAAACAAATTAAACAGATTAGTTTTCATTTTAATGCTTTATTTTTTGTTTTCATTTAAAGCATTCTACATTTTAAAATGATTGAAGTAAAAACTTCATAATAATATATTTTTATTCAACAACTAATCAGCAACTTTCTTTAAAAAATAAAAAACTCAATTCTACAATTTTAATTTAAGTGACTCTATTCTACCTTCAAATCCTTATTATATTTTGGAGATCTTATTTTGTTGTTTATCTGAGTAGTACCTAATTTAAATATGTTTGGTTATTTTTTAGAGATCTACATTAAAATTTCAAGTATATTTCTTATTAGTAATTTAATTTTTCCTCTATCATAAATATTTTTCTCTGAAAAGAATTTTCAAAATAGGAGGCTAACCTTGAGTAAATACACTAATCATGATTCTATCATTAGTGTAAACCTTTTTAACAATATAACTAATTAATATTTCCAATTTTTTATTTTTGTTTTTAATTTTATATGCTGACCATATAAGGAAAGAAAATGTGACTTCCACCAAGTGTTATTTTTTAAGATCCAATCATCAGGTTTTGTTAATGACTTAACTTTTTTTTTCTTAATCATAATAACAATTGAGTTATTTCAGGTGGATATCAGTCTTGACATTCATAAAGGTTTTACATTAAAAAATATCACGATGACTGATTCTACTCATTACACCTGTAGGGCTTCTCGCATGGATGAGACTTTTGAGGTTTATTATGAGCTTAATGTCCTCCGTAAGTTTAAAATTTTACAGGTTTAATAAAAGTATTAAGAATATAAATAAATTTAGTATTTATTAACATTCTTAGTGAATAGATATATTGGTTATGACCGCTAATATAATTGTGCATTGAATTTGTAATTTGGCTATATATTTTTTGTTGTTCTTCTTCACCGTTTAATTGTTTTGCATGTTGTTTTTTTTCGTTGTGAGTTATTTATGTTATCTGGTTATTGCATGTGCATGTTTAGAAATTATATACACTATGTTATTTTAATCAATAATATTATTTTATTATGATTATATTCTTAGTTTTAAAATAATTATAGTTTTACATTCACTTTAGTTTGGCTGGTTACTTTTTTTAAAATAAAAGTTTTAAAAAGGATAGCAAAGGATTTAATAAATAGAGAGGATCCTTAGATATTTATTCGATTATTTTTTTTAATATAAATATAAAACCCGAATTCAGCAGATATATATATATATATATATATATATATATATATATATATATATATATATATATATATATATATATATATATATGTATATATAATAGAAATGTTTTCAGATAACTAGCATACTGCCCAAGAGCTATTCCTTTACATATTTAGCCAACATAATATCCTAATCAAAATCAACTACAGTGAGAATAGTTTACTCAAGCTGCTGGCTTAGATGGGACACCACACCAAGATAGAAAAAAAATTAATCTGTATTGGAAAAATTAAAATAACTTGCAATTATAATCATTTTAACATCAGAGAAAAGGAACACAACAGAGATGTGCATTTCTG